GCAATACTCTGGTGCTGTCTGAGAGTGTTTTGCCGCTATTCATAAGGTTTTCAGTGGCTAAACATTCCGAAGTAATCTAGCTCACCTTTTTCCTAGTCTAAGTCTGGAAACTCAGCTGAAATCTGTCCACTGTGGGTAACTCTGCCAGCATTCAAAATACCAGTGGCATAGCTTCCAGCATCACAGCAACATAAAAGATACCCACAGTGCAACAAACAGATGAGTGGCAGGAATGTTTTCTTGTACACAAATGGACTTAGCTAGGAGCTAGACGATTCATCAAGGATCCTGGTGTGACACTACAACAAGCACTGGACTTGTTTTTTATTAAGTGCTGTCGAATCTGAATCTGTTCCGACTTGTTAGCAGCCCTGTATAGGGTTTTCAAGGAGCGACTGGTGATTTTGAATCACCTACCTTATGGCTCAAACCAACCTGGTGATCCAGTGCTTCATCCCATAGCACCACTCTATACTGAAACTGACTCATTGGCACTTAACAGATAATTCATCTAGAATAAGAAAATGGAGTATCTAGATACAAATGAGTAAATGTGCAAGGGGAAGGAGGTATGCTTATCTGCATCTACATTCTCAATGAAACAAATTGTTTAACAGATGAGGCTTATTGTTATTAGATGCTATTGAGTCCTCTCTGACTCAGTAACCCTATGAACAATAGAATGAAACATTGGTGCTGAGCCATCCTCACAGTTGTTGCTATGTTTGAACCTGTTGTTTGTGTCACTATATTGCTCCATCTTCTTGAAGGTCTACCTCTTATTCGCTGACCCTCTATTTAACCAACTATGATGTCCTTTTCTAGAGAGTGCTCCATCCTGATGACACCTAAAATACATGAGACAAAATCTCACCATCCTTGCTTCTGAGCTTCACTTTTACCAAGACAGATTTGTTCAATCTTCTGGTAGTCCATGGTATATTCCATATTCTTCACCAACACGAAAGTTCAAAGGCACCCAATGGTGCTGTAGGATAAATGCCAGTAGCACTGTGAGTTAATGCGCTGAACTGCAAGGTCAGTTTGAACAAGTTCAGTGGTTTAAGCTCACCATTCGCTCCTTAGAAACCCTACACAGAGTCGCTAGTAGTCGGAATCGACTCGACAGCACTTACCAATAACATCCATGAGGTTAGCAGTTCAATCCCACCAGTCCCTGCTGGGAAACCCTATACAGGATCATATGAGTCAGAATCACCTCAGTGGCACTTAACAAACAAAAAATGCTTCATCAATCATTCTTATTCATTGCCCAGCTTTCACGTGGACATGAAGCAATTGAAAATACCATGCTTTAAGTCATGTGCCACCTTAGTCCTTAGTGTCATCTTTGCTTTAACACTTTGAAGAGGTCCTAGAATTCTGAGAATTTTATATTCTATGTACCTCCTTGAATTTGCTATGGTGTACATGAGTACCTCAGCACAAAAGTTAGGGTACTCTGGAGCTGCAGAATTTTATATATATATATATATACCCTGATTATACTCTGGAGCTGCAGAATTTTATATATATACCCTGATTACTGGTTAGCATAAGAGTCCGCTTGAGATGATAAGTTTAAAAGGTAACTAAGTTGGTTCGTATTTGCCATTTTGCGCGGTAGCAGCAGCTGGAGCCTCTGATTAGGTTTCGGAGTCGGATACTGGAGCCATTCAGCACAGAGAGTGAGGCACGGAGTGCAGCTCACGGTCTTCTAGTAGCTCCAGAGCAAAGCTCCCTGTGGACGGCATTCTAACATGGAGCAGTATACAACAAATAGCAATAGTTCAACAGAATAGATTGTTGTGCAGGCTGGACAGATTCAGCAGCAGGTCCAGGGGCAGCCATTAATGGTGCAGGTCAGTGGAGGACAGTTAATCACATCAACTGTCCATCATGGTTCAGGCTGTTCCTGGTGGGAAAGGTCAGACTATCATGAAAGTACCTGTATCTGCGACAGAAGGCTTATAATAGTAAAGACACATGAAGAAAACCAAAGACTCAAGGAAACTATTAGTCTAAAGGACTATTGGGCCATCCGAACCACAGCCTCTACCAGCAGAACTCATTGATGTTCAACTACCACTACGGACCCTCTTATTGAAATAACAGAAGATTTTGGAAAGAATGGGATAAAAATGTAGAACAAATGAAGATCAGATTTAGTAGTCTGACAGAGACTGGTGGAAAGCCTAAGCCTGTGGCCCTTGTGTTAAGTGCCGTGGAGTAGATTCCAACCCATAGCAATCCTGTATAGGGTTTTCAAGGAGCAATTGGTGCACTTCAACCACCAACCTTGCAGTTCAAACAGCTTTGCAGTCTGACGCATTAACCCACAGCGCCACACCAGGATTCTCTTTAAGTCTGGATCTGACACATTTCTGCTAAACAGACAGTGAACAGTAACACTTGTGAAGATAATGCTCCACAAAAATGTTGACCATATGAGACCAAAAGGGCAGCATGTGCCCCAAAGCAAAACTTAGAAGGCAGGGAAGACACATTAATAGATGTGGGGAACTCCGGACAAAAGTGAGGGAAATGTATATAAATTGTTGAATGGAAAACTAATTTGCTCTGTAAACTTATACTCAAACGAGAAATTTTTTTAAAAGAATAGTTCGTTTCAGCTGGCTGTATGTTGAAAACAATGTTGGCTGAATTTAAAACAACAAAAGATCGTAAAAAGACATGCACAATATGGTATCATTTATATAATGTAAAATACAAACAGTATCACATTTTTATGGATGCACACATAGAATGCTCACGCTGTAAATATTCTCATATTCTCACCAGTTTTATCAGCGAACATATTGTCTGGAGGGACCAGTCGCTGAAGAAAGATACCATGTAGGGTGGAGGGTCAGAGAAAAAGAGGAAGACCCCCAGCAAGATGGATTGGCAAAGTGGCAGTATCAATGAGCTCAAGCGACGCAACGATAGTGAGGTTGGCCCAGGATTGGTTTCTGCTGTGCATAAGGTCGCTATGAGTCAGTACCTACTCGATGGCACCTAACAACAGTTTTTGGGGAGGAAGGGAAAGAAATGAATCAAATATCATGTAATGTTAATGTGAATCTGCATGGTAATCACATAGGTGTGTAATAAGCTAGCCTCAACTTTTCTCTATGCTTATATAGTTCATATATGCATGCATATTTGATCTATAGTATTTCTCCATAAACTTGAAACAATTAGAAATAAAAGATTTTTTGACATTTTGTTAGAGAAAACTTCAAAGACTATAGCAAAGATACGATGAAATCCTCATGTATCCATAACCCAGCTTCAGTAGTAATTATTAACACATAGTAATAGTCATTTCATCTATAGTCCACCCTAGGGTTTTGTTTTTGTTTTTGTTTTTTTTTTTTTGAGTAAATCGTTTCATCGTTTCATTTATAAAAACAATTTAGAATGTACTTTTAAATCAACATGCTTTTAATACATTAAAAATGTTTATGTTATATTGGGGAAGTGGCTAATGTAGCATGCCTTGTTTTTTTTTTTCCTTCCAGCTTGAAGACTTAGGTTTAACCAAGATTATGGTTGAGGGTGTAAATGATTAACAGTGGAATTTTAGCTGGGTAAATAGGGAGAAAGACTTGAGATGTCTTTACAGAGCAGTTTGTCAGAATAATCTGGGTTGACGATAACACTCATTGATAGATAGTAAAAACCCAACAGAATGTCTTTGTAAATGAGGTAGTAGTTTTTACCTGCCCCACTAAAAAAAAGTCAGCTTCACGATCTTTCACTACATGTTGGAATGTATAGACACCTTTTCAGTTCACTTTGATCTTAATGCTTTATAGTTAAATATGAAGAGACCTATAAAACCTTTAAAAGTGAGTACAGCATATACTTGGTGTCCTCTTCACTGCTGTTAGCATAAAATCCATTTGATTGTATCACAGTTTCTCAGAGAAATGTAGTTTTCATGTATTTGGTCTTTCTATTTTGTTAAGTCTCTATTCATACATTAATATCACGGTGTTAATTACTGTGGCCCTATTTTGTTTTTAACCCGTTAGGTGGAGGTTCCCATGTCCTCCTCGTTCTTTTTTTTTCCCCTCTTTCCTTGCTCTTTTGCTTTTTCATGAGAACCTTAGATTTGGTTTGGCAGGCTTACTTTTTCCTTGAAATTTGGATTGGTTGGGGTTTGGGTTTTTTTTCTGAGTTTGGATTAAATTTGTTGTTGTTAAGTGCCGTGGAGTCAATTCCAACCCATAGCCACCCTGTATAGGGTTTCCGAGGAGCAGCTGGTGAGCTTGAACCACTGACCTTGCAGTTCAAATGGCTTTGCAGTCTGGCACATTAACCCACAGTGCCACACCAGGACTCCTGGATTAAATTTAGGGATGGCTAAAATCTCTGATACTGATAATTTTCATAAAAAATAGGAGCTTCATTCTAATTGGTCAGGTTTTTAATTTCTACTGTTTTGCATTGACTTGCGATAAGTTCAAACCAACTTGATGGCAACTAACAGGAACTGTTTTGAAGGTTTCCTCATTAAATGTATATTACTGCCTTGTTAAGTTTGTTCTGATATAGGACTTTTGAATAAGCACTGAATTGTTGACCATAAGGTCAGCAGTTCAAACCCACCATCTGCTCCTTGGAAACCCTATACAGGGTTGCTATGAATTGAAACCTGCACAACAGCACTTAAAAGCAAGTTTGTTTCTAGTCTTTTTTTCTTAATCAATGAAAATGTTGCTTTTCATTATGTAAATCTTTTTGAGTTGTACATATGAAAAGTGTATATGTATAAGTTTATTTCCCCAGACTTACCAAATTATTTCTTTTATTTTATTCTCTTGTATGTTTTCCGTATAATTGTATTATCTGCATATAGTGATAACTTACATCTTCCTATCTAACTTTATACTTTTGTACTATTTCTCAATTATATTGAATTTGTTACAGCTTTATTAATTGTTTTTCTTTTCTATAACAGAAGTCTTGGCTATTTTTCCTTTCTTACAGTTATGGCAGACAAATTAACAAGAATTGCTATTGTCAACCATGACAAATGTAAGCCTAAGAAATGTCGACAGGAGTGCAAAAAGAGTTGCCCTGTAGTTCGAATGGGTAAGCTGTTCTGTTATTATTTCAGATAGTAGAAAATTGGCTTAATCTGTTGGGCTTTAGCATGCACTTAGTTTTCTTTACATAGAAAAAAAGTTTTTTAATTTTTCTTTTATTGGGTTTTGATTAAATGATCCTCTTTTTCTTTCTTTTTTCCTTTTTTAAGTAAACAAATTCTGGAATACTATATTGTTGTTAAGTGCCATCAAGTCTGGTTTGACACATAGCAACCCTGTATAAAGTTTCCAAAGAGCAGCTAGTGAGTTTAAACTGCTGGCTTTTTGTGGCCCAGTGCTTATCCTACAGTGCCACACTAGGACTCTGAATAAATATATTATTAATACTTAAAAGTTAAGTAAATATGAACTCAAACCAAAGGATAGGTTACTGAGAATCTTACTATTCTAAAGATTCTATAGGGCAAGGACTGCCTTGTCTTTAAAAACAGGAATCTTAATAGAAATGATTATGAGGTTTCACTCTGTTTTCAGTATTTCTTAAGTTTTTAGTATGTTTCATGAATTAGTTTTGGAGCTTCACTGATCTAAGATTTCACTTGATGTTTTATTCCATTATTTCCTAGGCAAGCCATATTTTCTTTTACAAATAATATGTACCGTGCATTTAACACACATAGTGCACTTAGAAAAATGTTAAAGGGGGTTATGCTGTTTGCAGAAGTCTTAAAAAGTGTGCACTGCTGGATAAAAATACAGTATTTGTGAGAGGGAGAGCGACTGTGTGCTGAAGACCTAGTGGGTACGGGGGGAAGGTATTGCATGGAGGGGATTGTAACCATGGCAATGAGACAATATACGATAGAATGAACGTAAAACTAAAGTTCTCCCATGTAAACTATCACATAATTCACAATAAAACATTTAAGAAAAAAAATATATATATATACAGTATTTGTGAATTAAAGATTCAAGTCATTGAGCTTAAAAATAACTTTTTCAAAGTTTGTCATATTTTTACTAGCATATTTTCTTCCCCTGGTATAATAGCACTGAGGGACCATAAGATTGCTTTAAACTGCAAAAAAGAATTTTTTTTATTCACTTATTTTTTTTTACTAAAGAAATTTCTATTGCGTGACAGAAGTCCTGATATGGCACTATGGGTTAATGTGCTGTACTATAAAGTCGGTTTGAACCACAAGGTCAGCAGTTCATGGTCACCAGCCACTCCTCGAATACCCTGTATTATTTTTGTTAGGTGCTATCAAGTTGGTACTGACTCATATAACCTTATGGACAGCAGAACGAAACACTGCCAGATCCTGGGCCAGCCTCACTAACTGTTGCCACGC